GACTTTCACCTTGTTCTATAATTGGGCTTTTGAGAGTATGTGACCATTCTCTGGAAAAACACGAAACAGACTGAATTTAGTAGATGTTTCTATCTTGACCCTAGAGTTAAGTAGGTGTGTCCTTTGCAGTTGAAATTCTGCCTCGGGCTCCCGGTTAGCATAGTTGGTTAGAGCGAGGTGCTGATAACACCAAGGTCCAGGGTTCAATCCCTATACTGGCCAGCTGCCAAAAAAATGAAAACAAAGAAATTTTACCTCTGCAGAGGAATTGCCTTAACAATGTTAATACAATTATTTTTGTTATCTCAGCACAGATCAGTCTTCTCTCCCTGCAAAATGTTGGACTCATCGGAGGGTCTTGGCTTTCTGGCCACTTCCTTGGGGAAGTGTAGGGGTGGAGGGGAAGCTTCCCTTCTGCCCTCTCATGAGGTTTCCTGAAATGACTGACAATAGACAGATTAATAGGAGAAAAAGGCTTACAAATTTATTTACATATGCGTAAGTGTACGTGGGAGTCCCATAAATATGAGACTCAAAAGGTCAGGTGGTTGAGGTTTATATAACCTTTTCATATGGGAGAGGGAAGTGAGGGGCTGTAGGAAACTCTAGATAGGTAGTAAATGATTTTGAGAAAATGAGTGAGCCCAAAGAACAATGGCCTGGGGCAAAGTTCCTCTGAGTTCTGGAGGAGGTGGTGGAAAGATGAGGGGCAGAACTTCACTGTAAACAAAGGTTGTCATATTATGCAGATAAAGTCTCTCAGGTAATCTCTTAGAGTTGCCCTCAGAAGAATAGATGAAAAGTCTTTTTGGGCATGGTTAATCTTGTTTTTGATAAGATCCTAGGGAGGGGGTCTTAAGACAATTAAATTTACTTTGGAAAAAAGTTTTCATACTGGCCAGCTACCAAAAAAATAAAAAAGGAAAGACGTTTCCTTAGTCAAATGAGGAAATTCCAGACAGAGTCCCTCCCAGCACTTGGGTGTTGGGGAGAGGCAGAGGAGAAGTCAGAAAGTCCTTGATTTTGGGGCTGGCCCATGGCTCACTTGGGAGAGTGTGGTGCTGATAACACCAAGGCCACTGGTTCAGATCCCCATATAGCGATGGCCAGTTCACTCACTTGGGAGAGCATGGTGCTGACAACACCAGGTCAAGGGTTAAGATCCCCTTACCGGTTATCTTTAAAAAAAAAAAAGTCCTTGATTTTGAAGCAGCTTCTAAGGCCTTCCTATTTTAATTCAAAGTATTCAGCATGCTAAAGCATCAAACTTTTGGGGTACCATTTTCTGAGCCCCAACAGAAATCTCCTTTGATCCTGTAGGGACAGAAAGGGGGTGATCCATTTTCTCCCCATCACAAAGGTCATGGCTGACACACCTGTAAGAAAGGTTAGCAAAAAGAAAGAATACCAAATGGGAAAAGAACAGTCTCTTCAGATGGTGCTGGGAAAACTGGATATTCACCTGGGAAAGAATGAAATTGGACCCTTATCTTAACCATACACAAAAATGGTAACTATGTGAGATAATGTATTTGTTAATTAGCTAGATTTAACCATTCCACAATTTATATATACTTCAAAACATCATGTTGTACATGAGAAATACATGCAATTTTATGTCATTTTTTAAAAATAAACTTGAAAAAAAATTTTTTTCATAAAAAAAAAGGTTAGCAAGAGAAAAGCATAAAGAATGTATAATGTGCATAAGCACAGGAGCCATACAAAAAAATATGAGAGCTAGCCATTTAGCTCAGTTGGTTAGAACGTGGTGTTGGAACACCAAGGTCAAGGGTGTGGATCCCCGTACCAGCCAGCTGCCACAAAAAACACAGTTATGGTTGATGCATAAATACCCTCTGCATTGTGGAGAGGGAAGGGGTGGGGGCTGTAAACGAATGGACCCAAGAACAGACAATGGTTTGTAAGATTGTTTGGACACTGAATGGTCCTGAAGGACAAACAATGGTTGTGGAGAAGTTTTGGGAAGATGAGGGGAGGAACTTCATCATCAACCAAGATTGTCTCATTATGCAGATACAGTCTCGAGAGATGCCGTCAGAATAGATGAAAAGTTTATCTGGATTCTTATGGTGATGACTCTTCTCTGTGGTTAATCTTTCCTGGTTATTTGATGAGATTTCCTAGGAGGTGGGGTCTTAAGACAATTGCATTTCTTTTGGAAAGTTTTCTTAAATAAGGAAATTCCAGAGAAAGTCCTGTTGGTGCTTTGGGAAAAAGGATCAGAGGGACAGAGGACAAGAGAAAGTTGGAGAGAGACCTTGGTTCTGAGGCTTATTTCTGAGGCCTTTGAATTTTCTTTAATTCAGAGCACTGAAGGGCCAGCCCGTGGCTCACTCGGGAGAGTGTGGTGCTGACAACACCAAGGCCACGGGTTCAGATCCCTATATAGGGATGGCTGGTTAGCTCACTTGGGAGAGTGTGGTGCTGACAACACCAAGACAAAGGTTAAGATCTCCTTACTGGTCATCCTCAAAAAACAAACAAATGAACAAAGTGCAGTCAACATGCCAAAGTGCCATATTTTGAAGCATTGTTTTCTGAGCCCCAACAACCCCCCAGGTGCAGGGAGGCTGCCCCTGCAGTGAATTGGCAGCACCTCAAGGTTCCCCATCATAGCTCTGGTAATACCATATCATCACTGCTTATCTATCTGTCTCCCATACTGCACTCTCACATTCTGTGAAAATGGGGCCAAGGCTATTGTGGTCATTTTGTATCCCCAGCACTTAATTAGTAGTTCAGACCAAGCAGATGTTAGATAGGATTTCTAACACTGAGATGGGAGGGAAGGGTACTTCTGATGGAGGAACTGGCACAAGTACATAAAAGGGTATAGCCCTGGAAGAGTGCCAAGAGGCATGAGTGTGGTTTGGCTGAAACCCAAGGAGACTGACAGGAGATATCTTATCAGATATCTTACCTCTTTACTGACAGGTAAAGAGTCTGGGATGTCATGAATGTTAGTTTAAGGCAGTGGTCATCAGAACGTGAAATAGTTGCAAATGATGAAATTTCTGGTGTAATATATATTGGATAAGTGTTTTACATATGTTTTCATCAAAAGCTTGGAGCCACACATCTAACTCATTCCATTTGTAGAAAATATTATTTAATTGGCAAAACCAATCCCCATGGCCAAACCAGTCAAATAGATTTATTTTCTGTCAGAAAAAGTTTATCTTCATTTTTTCAACTGAAAAAAAAACTATATTGCTACAAGGCCTTCCACCATCTGATGTGTGACTTCTGATTCTAAGATAGCCGGCTGTCCATGGCACAGAGGCTTGCCATGAATTTGTCAAGTGGGTGAAATAAGGTACTGCCCTTTTAGTGTTTCCTCTTTGGCTCGCAAGAGATTCTCTCTCAGGTGTGATGCATTCTCAAATTATCCCCTTGCTTGGGGACAAAGCACATAGTACAATTCAGGGTGGTTGAGGGATACCTCTCTTTTGTGAAGGCTAAGAGTAATGAGGTAGAGGCTGGAAAAGAGAAGTCAGCTCAGTGCAAGCCATTCTCAGGAAGATCACTTTCAGGAGAGGGATATTTGGTAGATCAGAATCTGGAAACTGAGCTCCTTGATACTATATACTGTGTATTCTCAGCGGACCTAGACCCCAGTTTGGCTATGGTTTTAACGAACCTGGATTTTATCCTATAGATCAGAGATCTCCAGGGTGGGGTGTACAAGAAGTATAGAGAAAAAAATATGACAGATTCTAATTATACTTTTTAATGTTATCCTCTTATTTTATTTTTTGTTTTGGTGGCTGGCCAGTTCAGGGATGTGAACCTGCGACCTTGGTGTTAAAAGGCTGTGCTCTAACCAGCTGAGCTAACCAGCCAGCCCTATGTCATCCTCTTAGACATTCTATTTTGGTAGATGTTTATAATTTATATAAAATAGAAATACAATAGTTGTAATAGTCTGTTTTGTATTGCTATGACAGAAATACCTGAGACTGGGTAATTTATAAAGAACAGAGGTTTATCTGGCCTACGATTCTGGGACAGCTGCATCTGGCGCGGGCCTCAGGCTGCTTCTGCTCATGGCGGAAAAGTGGCAGGCAGCCGGCGGGTACAAGGAGATCACACGGCGAGGGGAAGCAAGAGAGAGAAAGTACCAGGGTATTTTAAACAATCAGTTCTCATGGGAACTAATAGAGCAAGAACTCACTCAGGCCCTCCTCCCCAGAGAGAGCATTAATCCATTCATGAGGGATCCACACCCATGACTCGAACACTGATTCCAACATTGTCACATTGGGGATCAGAGTTCCGCATGAGTTTTGCAGGGACAACACATCCAAAGTCTATCAATAGTGTATAAACAATATTAAAGTAAATTACATACAAGAGTACTTCAACAAGTTCATGGAAAAAGAGAATAAAAAGATAATATGAATATTTCCATGAACTTTTTGAAGACCCTTTGTCTTTTTTTTTTTTTTTTTAAAGATGACAGATAAGGGGATCTTAACCCTTGACTTGGTGTTGTCAGCACCACGCTCACCCAGTGAGCAAACCGGCCATCCCTATATGGGATCCGAACCCGTGGCCTTGGTGTTATCAGCACTGCACTCTCCCGAGTGAGCCACAGGCCGGCCCGAAGACCCTTTGCATATGCATGTATGTGTGTGTGTGTGTGTGTGTGTGTGTGTGTGTATTATATGAGAGAGAAAGAGGATGTGCAGACATTAGTTTACTGATAAGCACATGCAGTCAAACAAAATCTGAGGATCACTCACTTTTAGGGACAGTAGAGAGTCACTGAAGGTTTCTGAGTAAGGGAGTGAACAGGATGTAATTGTTGACTGGAGGTGACAGTGAGGAATAGTGCCAGGCGTCAGTGAGGAGGATACACAGAGATACCAGCCCACCTTCAAAGAGCTGGCAGTCTGACTGGCACATGGAAAAACAAGTGAATTGTGAATGATAAATAGTAATGACTAATTAGAGGAAGGACAAAGAGGAAGAAGTTTAAGAGAACGTAGAAACAGTGATTGTTTTTTATTCTGTTTTAAAACATGCATGCCTGCAGAAAGAGCGGAATTTTCTGCAAGGCCCTAAATGGGTCCCTAAATGGCCATACCACACTATTTTTATTTCAAATTCCACTCATTCTGTTTGGTCAAGTTCTTTCTTCTCCATATTTAACCACCAAATTGATGTTTAGCTTCTGGTTTGAGGGACCTCATCCTTCAGTTCTTAGAAGAAACACCTAAAAATGCAAAAGTTTGTGATTAGGCAGGATTTACAACTGTAGTCCTGGTCTTTCAGAAGATATCTACATTATGATGGTTAAAATGTTCGGAGAAAACAGGAAGTTGGGGAGAATTATTTGAGTAGCTTCCCTGTTTTTAGAAATTCTATTATGACCAAAATTTCCCAGAGAGAGGGATTTTTTTAAAAGTTCCCAGGCTGGCTGGTTAGCTCAGTTAGAGCTCGGTGTTTAACACCAAGGTCAAGGGTTTGGATCACCATACCTGCAAGCCTCCAAAAAAATAAAATACAATAAAAATAAAATAAAATGTATCCTATTATGGTTTACAGTCAAAAGAATATTTGAAAGCCATTTCTTTTCTTTTTTTTTTTTTTTTTGTCTTTTTCGTGACCGGTAAGGGGACCGCAACCCTTGGTTTGGCGTCGCCCGCACCACGCTCAGCCAGTGAGCGCACCAGCCATTCCTATATAGGATCCGAACCCGCGGCGGGAGCGTTGCTGTGCTCCCAGCACCGCACCCTCCCGAGTGCGCCACGGGGCCAGCCCAAAAGCCATTTCTCTTAAAAAAAAAAAAAAAAAAGTTCCCAGAGAACATCATAAGAAGGCATAATAACACCTTGTAGTTGTGTATAATAGAGCCAATCTCAAAGGGTTTTCATGATCTTATCCCTGAATTCCCACCAGTTACATCTCTGTTGTGTGTAAGGGTGAGAAAAGAGGTCAAGAGACATCCCAGACTCACAGTCTGAACAGGAGCTCAGACCTCCTGATAAATACTGTGTTGGAAAAACCCTGAAGCAATCACTCATATGCTTACTCAGACTCTACTTGCCTTACAATAACACCATAAGTATTGTCTTAGCCACTTAACAGAAGAAAAAAACAAGACTTGAGAAAGATAAGTGCACAATTACTAAGTGACAGAGCTGGAATTTAACCCAGGTCTGTCTTAACTCAGAACCTGTTTTAGTGCCTGGGAGGTAACTGATAATTTTTAATAGGACAGTTTCAGTAGAGTGATAGAGGCAGAAGACTGATTACAACTTACTTATCGAATATTTATTGAGGAGAGTGGAACTTCCAGCTATGGCAGAGGGGTGGGCAAATCACCTCCCTGAAAAAGCAACTACACAGCCAGAAAAAAATGATTAAAACAATAATTTCCAACACTCAAGAAATTGACCAGGGCCAGCCCGGTGGCACACTGCTACAATGCGCCGCTTGGGAGCGCGGTGGCGCTCCCGCCCAGGGTTTGGATCCCACATACAGACCGGTTCCCGCTCACTGGCTGAGCGAGGTATGGGAGCAACACCGAGGGTTGCGATCCCGTTGCCGGACACGAAAAAAGACAAAAAGGAAAAAAAAAAAGAAAAGAAATTGACCAAAGGCATATAATAATCTGAGAAGCATTTATGCTTGAATAACTGCTGAACTTTGATAATAACAGTGGGAATCTGTGGCATCCTTGCCTGGGGATGCTCCTGTTTCCAGCCCTCCCCCCAGCTCAGTCAGCATGGGGATTTTGCCAGGGTGGGGGTTGCTGTGAGGACCAGCTTGTCAGCCACAGTCAAAGAGGGCTTACTTGATTTGGAGCAGGGGAGGGCCAATGGTTCTACTGACCGGAGGTTACACTTGTGGCTGAGGCAAGTGTGGGTTTTTTTGTTTTTTTTTAATAAAAATTATTAAAACATTTTTCAAAAAAAATTTTTTTTTCTTAAAAGATGACCGGTAAGGGGATCTTAACCCTTGACTTGGTGTTGTCAG